GTTCACCCCTGCGACAGCGGCGGGCTTGAGCGGGCCCGGCTGAAGGAGCAGCTTGCGGACTATTTGTTCTACATGTATGGTCATTAGGTGCGTCTATAATAGGGAATGATTATATATGGGGATTTAGGGATATATATATATGGATAAATAGACGGCGTTATATATGCATATATATAGAGAGAGTTCCTTAGTTCAAGCTGCACGTTCCTTTTTTCTAGAAGAGCTGACCATATAAGACGTACTTTTTGTTCAGTAAACACTCCCTAAAGTTGGTTTGGACATTTGCATCGAAAGGAAAACCAAGTGACAAAACGAACCCCCAATAATTAACCACAACCAAAAATATTTAGTAAAGTCCGTAAGAATAAAAAAAAAGTGAGAAGAAAAAATCCGTAATGAAACCACTTGACAAATTGAAAACCCATTTCGCTGTATTTAATTTGCTATCTAAAATGCATTTGATAATTTTGGTCAATCCTTTGAGATTCTCATTTGTACCAGCAATTTTCACAAATATCACAAAAGGTGATGTTCGGATGCAAAATTGAATTTTGTATATTTATAATAAGCTGGAATAAAAAATGTAATAGTTCGTTCCTTCCTCTCTTATTTTTATTTTTTGATGCAATCTACGTGTATTGGGTGAATATAGATGGCTGTAACTTAGAAGCACTATAAATTATTATTTAGATTTTTAGTGTACCACTAAAAACAAGAACGCCACTACATTTGTTCTTTCTAAATATAAATTTAGCTTAAGATACAAGGTATACAACAATAATAGGCTAGCTTAAGTTTAATAGCAAAGAATAAGCTGTACACGTATTGTGAAAATGAATTAAAATGTGTCGAAAGTTCTCCTATAGATCCATTCCATGAACATTAGGGGGTTCCAAGCACCACAAACATGATTTACCCACCTCCCTTAAGTACATTTACCCAACATTACCCTCAACGCAGAGTAATCGCCACCAACCAATTCCTTCTTTCTTTCACCCAATTTAGATCTCCTGCTGTCAGCCTCCCATCCTTTTAAACCCCAAAGTATCCTTTCCTTCCGCAGCGTTGGCTGATGTGGAGGGTTCAGATAAAGCCGTCTGCGATGGTAAGCAGGCGTGATGGATGGAAGAAAACAATGCATGAAATTCAGCAAGGCCGACATAAAAGGGTTCCTCAGGTGG